TTGTCACGCGTGCGCCGGTCTACATACACGCGTGAACTTTTGATGCCGCTGGATGGAAACCTGGCACCAGTCTTAAAAGGAAGGTTTGCGGCCGGCAATTAAGCAATACTCGGTTCGTCGGTTACTTTTAATTGTTCTTAACGAGGCTAAACGCGCCTGTGGTCCACGTCACGGCGCATAACAATGAACAAACAATGAATAACGGTCGTGGTGAACGAGTCCGTTTACTTTGTTCCCTATTGTCACTGCCGACGACAATGAACCAACCACGCGAGAGGGCTCGAAAACGCGTATCATTGACGTGCGAACCTCCTATGTATGTACATACCGAACAATCCTACATATGTAGGTAGAACCCGAAAAATTACTCGAATAAATAATACATTCTTAATCGAAATATGTTGTAATCTATTGTGCGTGAGAAGTAACACATGAAAAAATAACGGATGAAAAAATATTTGAATTGCTTTAACGTATTAAACTATAACTAGGAAGTTTACTTACTATTTCGTATGAACAATCTCAAAACGCGAATAAAAATGAGAGCGTTAAATCTGTCGGAGGTCACCTCCTCCCGTGTCTCGAACGCGTCTCGACGACTCGTTAACCGGTTTCAATCGCGTTCCATTTACTCTTTGAACTTAAACTTACTCCTGTGTTTAATAACAAAAATCGACACGTAACGCGCACCCGTAAACCTATTCGAATCTTACTAAGTATTAAGCTAAACTTCGTTTTGGGGCACATTTTTTTTAATTCTCTTAATCTGATGGTTAACGGGCAGTAGAACTTTGTATTTGGTCTATTTTCGCCGATTGTGCCAGAGAATAAATAAGAGTGTTACTCAAAATGAAGTTCAAGCGATCGTTAGATAAAAAGACGTTTTCGGTTTTGCGATAATAATCTTAATATTATGCATTACAAATATGACATACTTTCGTTATCACATTTTAAAGTCGACATTAAATCCCTTGTATTCTCCTGCATGTAGTTTATTTCTTTCAAGTAACATATTTAACTTTAACTTCAACTTTAGTAACGGATAGAACCCTTTTTGCTACATGAATAATACTAATTAATACAGTTCTGTGCATCAGAATAAGAAAAAATAAAATAAGACATCAGAACAATAATAGTAATAAGATAGATAAGAATAATAAGATAATAATAATAATAGTAATAGTAATAACTGTAATAACAAGTTAAGAAAAAACATCAAGATAATATTAATAATAACAAGAAACATGGAGAAGTAGAAGAGTTGAGGTAGAGATCAGTTAAGGGTAGTGAGATGTTGCTCATTATTGTTCACAATTCCGCATTGCTTCATATCCCGAAAGCAACGAAGACGTATTGATCAAACAATATGCATATTTGCGAGGTATGTACGTGCTACTTGTAGTACTTTCTATTTTCGTATTATTCGTTCCTTCCAATTATATTACAGATTTTTTTAACCTTCACACGGCGGGTGCCGGGTCACTGCTGACCCGACCCAACGCATCTCCAGAACAAACAGTTCCATGTTTACATGTTTCGCGACCCGTGGATATTGCATAGAATCGAGTAATTGCCGTACATATTACGATCGGGAGGAACGATTTCCTTTTCCTTTGCATTTTACAGTATTTTTCACCGTAATTGCAGCGATCAGGATATAACAGTTTATAATTTCATAATAAAAGTGTGTCTAGTCAAAGCGTGCGATCAACAAGTATAGGATTTCATTCTTATAATCCCTGTACTATCTATTGCAATAAAAAAATTAAAATTTATCTACTTCTTTGAAACGTTCTTAATGCTGGGACAGATTTGATCCTCCACTTGAAGTGCGTACGGATATCGCGATATTCGATGTCCGAGGGTTAACGTTAGAATAGCTAGTACAGAGCAAGCTAGAGTTATTTTATATTACACTCGAATTAAAGCTGACGGAAATAGAAGAAAGACGCGGTGCGATAAAAATGAAAGGACCACCTATCGGCGAGAGAACAACGGTGTGAAATCGAACGCGTGCCGCGCGATTCAGGACCTTCGGGCGTGGAATTTGAAAAATGTTCTGACACGAGCTTCACTTACCGTCACCTCGGCATTTCGTCCAACGTCGTTCGACTGCCGCCGATGGAAACCCGTCACGCTCGAAAATATTGTCGACACGATCATGCGGCCACGCTGTCTCACTGGTGAGCTTCGGATCGAATGTCAGAGCACCGGGAAACCATAAACATTGCACGGAAACCAGAGAATGAAGGAAGCGTTCGACTCAACAGTTGTCACCAGACGATTACACAATACGTCTTTATTCTCACGTAAATGTCAATACGATGCAATTCGCGCAGTAGAAGACTGTGTATACATTCAACGATGCAGAGAAAGAAAGAGAGATAACAAGTTCAGTGATCGAATATACAGTTACGTACGTCGTACCCGTGAAACGAAACACACTTGACCAAAGGTCGGACGATACTGAGCCGATGCCAGTCGCGAATCTCTCCCACTAGACTTCCACCACCCCTCCATTCGCGCACCACTTGACGTCGAAGGAGCAACCCTTGACTGTTTTCCATGAAAAAGTAATGTTTTACAATGCTCTTCAACTACCTAACAATCTAATAATTCATGACTAGACTGCGATCTTATAAATCTCACGCTATGAAATCAATTTCGAAACCTCAGATTATGAAATTGTATAAATGGAGAGTTTGTACAAACCGATTCCTTAAAATATGACTTTGCATAAAAATCCGCAATCTACTGAGAAGTATACGTATACGTATACAGAGAAGCTTTTCTTTTTCTTTGATTGTTTACGCAATAACCGGTTTGAAGATATTCCATAGAGAATGAGACATTTTCAACTGTGCATTTTAACAACTTCCTGTTGAGTGCAGAACGAAACGCAGTTATAACTATGACTTCCAACCCTTTTTTCTTCGCACCATGTGTATGAACTAGGCGCAAACTACTTTCCGCGGCATCTATGATCTTCTGCCTTAATGATATACTTGGTGCGCATCATTCTCTGGAGGGTGTACAGAGTATATAGTAGTGGTACGATTATAAAATTCACCAGATAGGCAGTCATGAGTCACGCTCACGATGTAGAAGGAAGCATTACGGTACATAGTATAAATGTTAATATTCCTCGTTTATCAGGAACTTGTAGAATATTCATACCCAATAAACACATAGCTACTAGATAAACACATAGCTCATAGATAAATAAATTTCAACTGTACGAAAAATTTTAATATTTGTTAAGTTCATTTTACTCCATTCGTGGCATCAAGACTGACGCGTGCAGTAACGCTTGATATTTTATTTCATTAAACGAAACTGACCATTACGTAATCACGTTTTTTTCTAGAAGGTCAAGTAACTTTTTTCCGTTAATTGTCGGATGGTTGCACTCTTTTATAGTCAACTGAGCGTGAGCCCATGTCCATAGTTAACAATGTTCTTTAAAAAAAAAACCAGTGGGAAATGTATTTTTGTCGAAGATGCTAAAGAAAAATTTCTATGTCGTCGTCTTGATCCCCTGTGGGCTATTAAAAAATCGTTATTTTTAATGAACCGAAGGCGTAGGTATAGGTAGGATCGACATAAAAACTGAAGTTTACATTAGAAAAACAAACAATAAAAATGTTAATACGCTAAGCTTTATGGCTGGAAGTTATCCCTGATTAAGGTCTAATTAATTTAATGCCGGTTATTAATAAATTATCGTAACTGAAGCGTATCTGCATTTAATCCCGTAGCATAGATTTTCCAGCAGCTGAAACAGCTTAATTCAATCGCGAGACAATAGCTTCGTCGCAAATGTCGACATTCCCAGTTGCTATCTCCTTCTTGCATCGCAATCCTTTTCTTTGGCACGACTCTCCCACATTCGGCTCTAACCTGACCGCATTCCAGGAAGAATCTGTGTCTCCGCCTATCACACACACAGAATGCATTTATTCATCGTCCCCGAAACATGAAACTACCGTAACAATGCGTCTATCTAGATAATTAATAATATTTTCCCTTTTGAAGCCAACGTTCGATTAGAAATATCTTACTTCTTCTATGGAAGTGTAATTTCACAATTAAAGTACACACTTTGCAATAGTAATGATTTCACCCGATGTCTAGATTAGGCTTATCAAACTCATTTAAGCAATGGGCTAATTATGCGAACGGTAAGATTTACGCGGGCCACAAATTATCTTAAAATTTTATTTTAAAGTAAAAATGCAGCAATATAGAAATGGGATATGAATTTTTTTTAAATTAATTTATTGTTTCCAACATATTAATATGTTTTCATTTTATTGCAGAACATCGTAGCCACGAAGAACCGTCGAGGGCCGTCAGTTTGACACTCCTGATCTAGACTATCGATGGAAGGGAGCCTATACCACTTCCTGAGTTACTCACTCACGAGGAACTGCGGTTTTCGAAAGAACCCGATAAAACCACAAGCCCCTCGATTGTCCTTGATAACCAGGTAAATGTATCTCAGTGAAATACTTTCCATTACTTATCCGAGTTGAAAGCGATATCATTGTATTTCCGTGGGAAATTCATTTGGCGAACAGACGTAGTTACATTCGAACGATTTCGAAAAGGATGCGAAGTATAGAAACAAAATACAATTCAATACAGTAAATCACTCCGCGAGGTCAAAACCTCGACACAATTGAAAAGAGTTGCATCGAGCACGTCGAAAAGAAGCTTCCATGTGATTCCTTTGTATCTTGCAACAACAATTATTGAAATGCGACTTCGATAGCATTCAAATAGGAACGGTAGCGGAATACAGAACTCGCGCGAAGGTTCGTCCTCGTGTGAGGGTTCGCATCTACCCTTTGTTTGGCGTTGACAGCACGCGCGTAGCTCGCATGAAACGCATCGATGAGTCAGTGACTGATCGCACGTTGCGCCGATAAACGCGCCGTCTTCCCTCGGATCTTCGAGCTGAAACTGTGTATGCTTATGCACAAACAGAGGCGATCGGTTGGTTGGTCATCGACATTAGGCAGCCGATATATTCCTGAGCCGTGCGACCGGAACAATGAAAACGCAGCGAATACAATGCGAGTCACGCCGATCATGCGGATACGTTCGCCACGCGTGGATGTGTCTCAAGTGTAGACGCCACAAAGACGGTGAAAAGGCGGAAACATCGGAGACAGATAATAACAGAGAGGGAATTAAACAGGCAGAAGAAGAAACACAAAAGCAAAGGGCATAGCGCAGCGCGATGTGTGCGCATGATTTACGTACACAAGCGATCGGCCGCATAATTCATCGATCGATCGATCGATGAAAAGCGCATGAGCCGTTGCCCTGTATGCGATTATGTATGCGCGACTGCCAAACAACGCGCGGGTACCTAGTGTACTCTACTACATGTACACACGACGTACCGCGCAATCGATCACTGTCCACCTCGTTCGATGACGTTAATGAGGGCGATCGGTACTTAGCGATGCTTTAGTCTACTGACCATTCCTCCCTATTATACGCGTTGCTTATTCGTGCAACGAAGAAATAATGTGGCCAGGTGGCATGAATAAAGATGTTGCGTGCTTCCTTTGGAAAGTTTCTCTATGCTGAAAGTGTAGAGGTTTATTCTCTACTGATAACTAAATTATCTTCGAACGCAATTATCAATATAAAATAGCTTCAGATGTTCTTTGCCCTTTGGTATTAAGAATCAGAGATTTAGTTCATTTTAGATAAATGATTTGTATTACCACAATTGTTCTATTAGTTATTTCAAATATAATTCTTAAACAAAGTTACTTTCAATCTTGATCGGTTCCGGTGCTTTCAAACTTTGCATTGGTAACAGGAAATCCTGCGTATGCGACACCCTTTGATCGCAAGCGGCAATAAATTTAGACAAGTATAATCGAGAGGGTAACGTGTCGACCAATCAGTTGTCTGCAATTTTCGTTATTTATTTATACGTCGAAAATAAGATGTACGCGTATAAAACGAGAGGCGTCTTAACGTGTTGAACGCGCTTACGATCGATCAACGTCATCTTATATGATCGCGCTGACTAGAATGATGGTACAGCGCGGTGTACCCAAGTCAGTAGCCGTTTCCGAAGTACGCACAGCGAAGGAATAATCTGTTTAATGGAAAGAATGATAGGGTGGCCCGATCTTTCACACGGAAGTGGCAGACATTCAAATTATTAAACTGGCCACAACGACAGGACATATAAAAAGTGATTCAACGCGAACTAGTTAAAGATCACGTAGCTTACGTATTATTCGTTTACTGTCATAAACGAGACTTGTGGACTTTGAATGAATTTTATATCTATTCTATGGATATGTATGTTAATGATAGTATTAGCATTTTGAATTAGATTTGCAAAATAGGCAATTAAACTAGTTTATTAAACGAGTCCAAGGTTGTAATGTATAGTAAGAAAAAGGAAATTCAACACTTCTCTACATAGAATCGAATGAACGTACCTACTATGTATATCTCAAAGTACGCTTCTGACAAATAGCAAAAATGTTAATTTTCTGGCACGGAATGCATTGTGACCTCTAGCGGAAATAAATTCGCGGTCTCGAACGACTTCCATTTACAGTTTGTGCGATGAATCTCAGAGACGGAATTTGTACTGCATATCTTCGCCTGTGGTAGCTACGTGTCCACCCACGACTCACAACGAACCGGGCGATAATAAAGCTTCCGGCCTGTTCGCAAGAGCCGCAGGGACAGAAATACAAAACGTCGGGAAGAGGAGAAAATTATTATTCCTTTTACCGCACGGCGCGTGTACAGAGCGGAATACACGAACCGGATGCAACGCGTTTGATTTACCTCATGCACACCTGCTTGCTATCCCCCTAGAGGCACCTTTTAATTATTGTCTGATCGATCGTAATTTTCCATTTCACGAGAATGCCTCGTTCTCCAATGGGTTACTAAATGTCGTTTATGAAATTAACAAATTAATTACGTTAAAAGAAAGTAAAAACTGGAGAAAATAGGGTGACGAAGTATTACATGTTACACAAGATGCGGGTAATTTTACGGTTTCCAATTTGCTGCTCTTCCATTTCGCTGTCGAAGAAGTTGGATGAGCGCGTAAACGTAACATACCGTTAACTATTTTCACTTTTTTCACACTAGCTACTGTTATTACACATTACGTACGAATTCCTCGTTAACGCATAGTATATTATACTTATCTTTAGAGAATTTCAACAAGGAAAACTTACCTCGGCATCTTTGGTCACACTCGTGGGTTTATCTTCGGCGTCCACATAAAATATGGATTTCATTTCCCGGTGAAACCGCATGTTTGTTTTACGCAACTTAATGCGTTTTCGTGTAACAAACAATTAAAATTATTTTTAACATTTTCTATTCATCTCGAGTCAAACGGTATCGTTGGACGAAAGGAAACGAAACCTTCGTGCTAACTTCGTAATAAAATTCATTATCTGAATCACTGCACTTGTAAAAAAGAATTAACGATTAAATTATCGGTGGATTATACGCGTCCATAGAACTAAACATCCGTGCATAGGTACACTGGGGGCGGGAAGTATTAATTCTAAATGACATTGTTCCATCGTCAAAGCTGCAGTTACTTTGTCGTGAAGAGTCTTCGTCTTCAAATGAAAGAGCCGCCTTGACCGAAGCGGTCGTAAGTTCTTTTCGCCGCGGTTGCCCCGTGAAAACTGGAAAGCGAAACGTTAATCGCACACCTCGCCCGTTTCTGTGTACGCAACGTATCCTTCTCCCTACCCACGCTATAAATTCACTCCTCTCCTCTCAATGCCCTCTTGCTCGCCGACCCTCCACAACAAATTAGCAGCTCCTTTAATTTGTTGTTCTCTGAAAAGTCGCAGGGAAATCAAACCCTCGGCCTTCACCGCAATTAATAACGCCTAACAAGCGTAATAGCAATATCATCAGTGAAAGTACTGAGTCATTGGGTTTCCCCTTTCCATCCTACGAACGATATTTAATTTTCTTCATACAAAAATGAGTAACTCTTTTAAAGCTCTATTAGTCTTTCCACTTATGGTCTTAACTTGTGTAATCATCTGATTGACTGGAAACATGAGAAGGAAAGCGTTTAAAATTCTAGAGTATAATTTTCTAATTTTTTTAGCCACCGGTAACATTATATACTGCTAGTGGAGACAACATTTATGTCGTTGTCTTCAAACTTCAGATAATAACAAAGTATAATTTAGAAACAAAATTCAGGCGTTAAATTTGCAGAAATGCGGTAAAAGGAAATTGATAATTCGGCATCTTGTGCCACTAAATTCGAAGTTCGTCAAGAAAATTTCTTGTGATAAAAATTAAAATTCCAGTTAGCCTGGATAATGTATTTAATTAAATTAGTATATTGTTGAGGAGTACATGTCCTCAAAATGTCTGCTGGAACGGAATTACTAAGTACGGCAGAACCGCATCTCATCCCGGGGTAAAAAATTCAATATTAAACTTAATTACGTTGCATTTAAAATTGAAATATATGTATTATTGTACGAAGACTATAGCACTGAAAAATATATTTGAACCCTTGTTCTCCCATAATTTCCATATCTGTCCTTATCTACGTTTCCAATATGTGCGCTTTGATAAAAAAGGAAAATCAATGATCTATTTCAGATATGCTGGATATTCTCCCCAGTATCGTTACAGATGTGGCGAAACGTATGGCAGTCTCACACACAAATTACTACTTGATCCCACAGTGAATCATGCGGAAACACTTATTTTATCAAACAGGGTTACGGATGATTATGAAGTATTTTGAAATTTCAGAAACTTTTTTTCAGCCCTGAATGTATCGTACATAGTAATGCCCGTTTAATCTTCGAAAATATACCATAAAGTATAAATCTTAGATACTGTAACTTTCATTCTACCTTGTCTAAACATGTAACCGCGTGCAATGTATTCAAAATCTAATTTACATCCAAGTTCTGTTAAAAATTCAACAGTACTTCTTCACAATACAAAATATAGCTAATACAACTTAAATTAGTAATTAGTTATTCAGTTAATGAACAGGTCTTTTGTAGTCAATTTTTTCAAGTTGTACTAAAGGTTTCAATTGTTCTGCAAAAATTCTCATATCCGCTGTTATTGCATCTTGACCACTTGGAGCCAGAACACTCAATTCTACTAAATAATTCTGAGATATAGCTCCTATACCTTTAGGTATTTTTCCTTGTTGACCAATCTTAAATATCTTAGAATAAAGTATAGATCTGAAGAACACGAAACTATTTGTCATTCAAATAGACGTAGAGATATGAACATTAAATGGGAATTATTATGTCATGTATTAATTAAAATTAATTGTTGACGCGCATAATGAAAGGTACAAAGACCACCGAAAAACGATATAGACGTCGTAAACGCTCGATATAAAAGAACCGATCCTATATTCATACATCCGATACTGCCAGGCTATGAAGGTGAATGAAACGAAAGTAAAAAGTAGAAAGTAATAGTAAATGATAATTTCTCTTAACGAAGATAAAATGACGCTTTAGGATTTACTCCGAAACTCAAGGCAAGAAATGGACAAAGGTACACGGTGCTCGCAACCGAAGGGCTTGCCGAATTTGAACAGCAACAATTAAGAAATCAAGCGGCTGTTAATGAACTAAAAAGAGTAATAGCTACGCAAAGTGGACAGGGTGAACCCAGGAGTTTGGAAGATCGTTTGGTAGATTATTTATTATCAATATGTCAACGTTAGCTAAAAAAAATAGGAATTTTATTAAGAGTAATGAGTCCATGTTCGAATTTCGTGTAGCTTTTAAAAAGCGAGTTCAAATTGCCGATGCTATCAGTGCGGCCTGATTGCGTGGGCGTAATGAGGAATTTATTTGTGGACGAACAATACGAGTCACCTAGAGATCACGCTCCGTCACCTTACTTTATGGACAATGCGAATCCAAAGAAATACTTCATCAGTCGTAAGTCAATTTAGTCGAATTATCATTAGTCTGAATTTGTCTGTATGTAATTCCGCGATGTAACTTACGTAAGCGATATCACGTAAGATTCAACTGTTTTACGAAATGTTCAACGCTCAATGACCTCCACAACCTATCAAGATGAATTACTAAGCATTCCTATACACGTAGACGAATCAAACTACGATGTTCCTTATGAAATTCTATTAATAATACACAGCAATACAGATGGGTCTTACGGATAGTGAAAGGCGAATGCGATATTCTTTCATTCGAGAAAATGTTAGAAGTGAGTGTACGGAAGTTGGCCGTGTAAATCACTTATTTTTTTGTAATATTACGAATTATCGAGAGGCGCGATAGTGAGCCGAAGGCAAGTTTAAGTCTGAGGGGGTAGCTTGCCGTTGGGTACCGCGTCTCTTATATACACGTAAATTCTGATTCAAATTTTTTTTTTACTTATTACGATTGAAATATTTAACTGTATTTGTTAAGGATATGCGGGCCATATACCATACGGATACGCGCACTTTGGAAAATCGAACGTACCCGCTACTAACAGTGCTCTTTGCGACTTCACATCTGATTATCGAAAGAGACAAAGCACAGAATGGGCACCAGTAACAATTACGCGACCTGATCCACCGCTTCTAATTCAGCCAACCACTCTTTATCATAAACACGTTGGGATGCTTCCCAATTACCTGGGACATGTCCCTGGAGAAACGTTCAGGTAACTGAATATTTTAACTTGTTACACATGTTTGCAAATTAAAATATTGAATGAATTTCATTCAGATTCGGTAAAACCTTTGGTGCTGATACTAAAGATGCAAAACGATGGCTTCGTGGTGATTACGCTGCATAGATTGCGAAATGTGACGCAACAGTCTTATGTATAAAGAAGATTTAATAATATATTAAAAACAATACTGTGTTTGTACAGATTGTATATGATACACGTGTACAAAATTATATACAGTTTTTGGTAGTATGTGCAATATTTGAATAAAATTGAAAAAATATATTATCATTAGAATGTGCATAAATTTTCTCCCCGAGTATTAATATATATTACATTAAAACAGATTTTACTGTGTGGATTTCCATTTCTTCAAAAGTTCAGCTGCTTTCTCCAAATTTTCATCTTTCTATAATAAAGAAAAAGAATGGTTACGAGCAAAAGTACAAAGGAAATTTAATGAGGATACATACTTCAAATTAATTCTCACCTTTATAAAGCAATATCGTACGTTATCTTCACCTATATATTTGTGTTCAGGACTATAAAACGTGGATGGTGGTATTCCTAGAACTCCAACATTTTTCGCCATCCATTTCGTAAAACGGTAATCTCTATACTCATCTGTCTCCTCTTCTAATTGGACTTTGTCCTTCAATTTCGTCCAATTAGCTATCATGAAGAATCCACCTTCAGGTATTGTTGGTATCATTCCTACATCGCTAAGAAATTTGGCCATGAAATCTCGTTTAGGTTTTAAATCCCTAGCTAAACTCACGAAGTAACAATCAGGGCTATCAAATCTTTCTAATTCTTGTTCAAATGCAATAGCCACTGCTTCCTAGAATATAAAAAATAATATTCAATTATTACTTCATACTGGTATATTTAGAATTTGCTCATTCGATAATGCGATAATTACTTGGAGTGGTGTGGGACATGTATATACAGTATTTTGATGAACAACTTGTAAATTGTATAATAAATTCGCTGGACCGTAGGCCCATCCTATTTTCCACCCAGTAATGCTGAATGTTTTCCCTGCTGATCCAATGGTAATTGTACGTTCATACATACCAGGCAACGTTGCTAAAATATATCGAACCGTTAAAAAATGTTTGATAATGAGAATATACTTATAGTATCGAATATTTTTACCAATTCTAATATGTTTAGCTGGTTCATAAACAAGCCACTCATAAACTTCATCTGACACAACAAGAACATTCCATTTCTTAGCCAAATCACTGATGAACTGTAATTCATCTAGGGAAAAAACTTTTCCAATAGGATTATTTGGAGTATTAAGGATTATTCCTTTTGTCTTTTCATTGAAAAGACTTTCTAATTCCTGTTTGTCGAATACCCAATCTGCAGAACTCAGTGGTCCATTTATGTTTTTCTTAAAAATGCGTAGATATAAAGGGTTTAGTTTATTATTTATATCAACAAAATTCATTCATCTTTCAAACTTACTGGTTTTAAAGGAATAAACCTTGGAACTCCACCAGCAACTTTAATCATGGGCTCATAGCAGTCGAAAAAAGGCTCAATAATAATCCATTCATCACCAGGATTTGTGTGACCTTGTAGTGTACTAAATAATGCTTCATAAGCTCCAGAAGTTATAAGAATTTCATTATTTGGATCTAGGGTACGATTTAAGAGCCTGGAAAATAATTTTGCAATAACATTTACCAGACGTGGGTGACCCTAGAAAACAATGGAAAATACGTACATATATTTAGTATATATTTAGTTACACAAAGATTTTATACATATTTTTTTTAATAAATACTTACAAATCCTCTAGTATATTGATTTAAAAGAGGATTGTCGCTCGTAGTTGTAGCAGCTAGAGCTTTGATAACATTCTCTGGAGCATGAAAGTCTGGAAAGCCTTGACCTAAATTCAGTGGTTTATATTTCAAGACCAATTGAGTATATTCAACCCTAAAATATAAAGTTTAATTACAACATACATTACAAAATATAATTGAGCATAATATAGGCATACCATACTGATTTTTCATTGCCTACTAGGCGGTCAGGAATTTCAAATTTAGACATCACTGCAGAATGACTTATAGTATCCTTTAATATAAAAGCGTGTGATATTTTAGATGTCGCAGCAACGCAAAGTTTCGTAAACATCTATAAACAATAAAAAACAATGATAAGTGAACATCTGCATGTAGAAATCAAGTGCAACTCCATATTATCAGAAATTTGGTTAATATTAGAGGATATGGAAGGTCTAAAAACTATAGTTAACATCGCAATTACAAATTTAAATGTACTTATATAAACAATATGTAAATTAATCATTACCAATGAAATGTACACTGTAATTGATTATACCTACAGTAACCCACTTCAGCAAATCAAAACAGTTAATTTTGCAAATATTACAACTTGTCGACGTGGATGACAATAAGAAATTGTTTTCTGTAACAAAAATGGTTTATGTAACAAGTGCTTCATTGTGATTCATGTTGTGATTTTTAAAAACAATGAACTTGATATTCCTAAGTTTGGTAATTTTACTAGATAATATTGGTACGTTATTACTAGATTATAAAGATTAATTTTTTCTTCTCATTTATGAAATAAAATTATTGCTTTAAATTTATATAGTAGATAGAATACCAAAAAGAAGTACGCATAATTTATTAATCTCATTTTTCAAAATTATATAAGTCAAATTAGAAAAACTTCTGTATTTATATACGCTTATGTGTAATTACACCATGGATCTGCATGCGTACTACAATTAACTGATGATTTCTCTATAAAGTAGTTCAAGGCATTTCGAAAGACTCATGTTACACCTGTCCCATGCATTTTGTTCGCACTTAAGTAAGTGAGAGTGAGAGGTGTCCAAAAGCCGATGGGAGCATCATCTCGTGGTGCGTCCCAAACTCCCAACGCCGTTCAGCGTCAACCAGCCCCGTGTTTGTTGCTCGTCTTTCGTTCGCGTCCGGGTCCAAACTGTCCAAAGAAGACTCGATGAAAACGCGGACGGTCGGGGCGTCAACCGCGTCAATAATAGTCAATGGGTCAATGGTGCGCGCTACACAGCGGCGAGTGGATTGTTAGTAAAGTAGATGGTAGATTATTATATATGCATCACAGACTTTAATGCTTTATTTGCTTTTTCGTTAGAGAAAAACAGAATTCGATAGTGTTTGGCACAAGTAATATAAAAATGACACAGTCCCACAGACAACTTGAGGAATTACACAATTATTACACAAGAACTGCAGCTAATATTATTACTTACTATGGTAAGCTTGCAGAATTCACTGATTTAATTATTAATATTTGTAATTATTAATATGCACGAATAATTTTCTATTTAATTGCAAATATGTATTTGTAGAAGATGATGAGAGAAGAAAGAAATTGAAAGAACTGAGGGATATAGTACAAGAACATTGTTCACAATATGAGAAACTAAAGTCTGCACAAGATATAAAAATTCATGCATTTAGTTTGTGTGACAATAATAATGATAATGAAAAAATTGATATGGAGTCCATCATAAATGTAATTCTATAAAATTAACATAATGTTACTTACAATAAAATACTATATGTTTGTTTATATTTTAGGGATATGATCGAGGGATATCTGAAATTAATGTAGATGTTACAAGACACCCTAGACTTCTTGAATTTGATAAGCATGTAGAAGCATTACTAGGTGAGTTTACTATTATGTATAATAACACACAAAAATCAATACAAATAATAATTAATATATGTATTAAAGATAACGCGAAAGGCTCAAGATCAGATCAGGATGCAGAATTAGAATTATCAGGAGGCTACATAAATGTGATTGATCCTATTTCTAAGAAAAGAATTGTGGATCCTGTGAAAAACAGTATATGTGGTCATACCTATGATCGAGAAAGTATTACAGAGATGTTGAAAATTAATAAAAATACCAGGTAAGTATCTCACTTGCAAATTCATTTTTTTAAAGTAATATTAATTCTATATTGTATTTACAGATGTCCAGTCGTAGGCTGCAAAAGTAAGGAGTTTGTTAGACTTACTCATCTTCGTGCAGATATTGTCACCAAGACATATCTTGAGAAAAATAGTTAATAATGTTTAATGATAGATAAATCATAATATTTTTATACATTTCTGGAAATGCTATTGTCTTCTGCACCGTTTGTATAATAGAGTTTTTATATTATACAGTTAAACAAAAATAAAAACTGCACGTGATGATAGGTACCTGAATAAGTACCTGAATAAAATATAGATTTGTATACGTATGACCTATCATGAGATATTTTATGATTACAAACTTTCTGAATGTTCTATTTCAAACTATTGTTTCAAGTGCGCTGTACTTTAAAATTATACATCTGAAAATGCAATAGACGCGCTGTAATGTGTGCCATATTTAGGAGTACTTAGTTTTGTATAAAGACGTAATATAGATATAAATATAGTAGCTCTAAGTGTTGGAGACGAATAGGATATTTCATATTGACTTTTGTTAAAAGTTTGTATTTCACATTTCAAATATATATACTTTTATGGATAACTTCAAGTTATTATACCATTGTTTGTTCGTAATTCGTACCGTTATCAATCGATGATGTTAACACACAGGCTATGTTTATACTTACGTTTCTATCGATAGTGTTGATACTCTCTCGTGGAAAAGCTCGTCGAGTCGTTGATGGAGTCAATGTGGACGGCGGCAACTGGGACCCATTTCTGTTCGTATCTAAAGATTTGGATGAATCACCGAATTACGATATAACACGCTGGGTACAGCAATTGCATCTGCAGCAATGCGCTTTCGTAGAAATCGGAGAACGATTTTGTGCTGTAAGCAGAAAGCGTTTCACACAAAATACTTTCTTCCTCGCGTCACAAGATAGATAAAAATGTTTCGCGCGGTACGAACGGGAGGGAATTAAAACTCGCAACAGCGTGGTAGTTTCGAACAAGACACAAACTTCGAATAAATGTTTAAACTTTCGTGCAATACAGTTCTATTTAATATTTAGTTGTTCGTCGAATTACGTAGCATACCTTCCGAGACAAAAGTTCTGGATAGCTCTGGAGTCGGTGAATTTTTCCTTGGGATTTGTCCCTGCTTGACCCTACACTCCTGGGACTTGTGCTCACCCGAACTGACCAGGCTGAGGAAAGCGGACTGCACTTTTAAAGAAGCTACTCCATATTCAAATACAAGTGCAAGAGTTCACAGGCGATTATGCGATGTAACTCTGTTAATTGAAAATGCTCCACGCTGCAATTGTTCCATTCCTCTAGCTGGCCAGGGGCTGTACAAGATGAAAGGTAATAATATAAAGAGATTGGGAAAGATCCTGAACAAGCATTTTTGACGACACACCTATTGCGACCCAAGCAAGCAAAGAATTTCTATATTTATTGCAAGAATAATTTTCAGGATTCCCTACGTGCTTTTTGAATCCTTTACCCGAGAGCCTGTGCTCACCGCGTGGAGTTTGCGGTATTGCACAATGTACCGCGACCACATTAAAAGGAATACATACCCCTCAATGTGCCTCAAATTGTCATCAGAGGCAACCAGTAATGTCATTTTATCTCAAAAAGATTTAGAAGCAGATTAGATTATAGAAGCAATTGAATGCCTCAAGAGATTAGGAAATGTCATTTACTTAAAATTATAAAACCTGAAACTTTTAGTTTTGTGAAGAGCTTGGCCCTTCAACTTCGATGCCGGCAGACATGAATTCCTTATGGTCGCGATGGTCATCTCCAAAGTGCAATACCTCATGTGGCAAGGGATTTCTAGTAGCACTTGCATCGTGCCAAGATCAAGTAACGTAAATAGGAATAAGCTCACGCGTGCAAATTAAATAATAAATACAACATTTGTGTTCTTATATCATACTTAATAATCGCATAATTATAGAAGATAATAATTAATTACAATGCAAGATACATTTAAATATTTTGTATAATACACGACAGTATTTTAGTAAAATTTATGTCTCAGCTCAATTGTGATTATGTCTCGTAACATTTTTTAGAAGAAAGTCAGCTATAGATTGCATCGGGCCAGGATCGTTTTGGTGAGGCAATGCTCGTTTGAGGAAGTTCCCTTGAATTCCTTGACCGTGATGAAACATGTGAACTTTTCTAGCTGCCCGGATAACTTCGGTAAATGTTATTGCGAGGTAAACACCGTCGATGGAATTATGAAAGCGGCCAGGTTCACAGAACCTTGCATTTCTACCGAAGGGTGTACCTCCAGCAACAGCGGAACGTTCACTTTCGAAGGAGAACTCGATCTTAGTAACAGCGTTGATTTGAGCGAAGCTTATGAGAACGATGATCGTGAAAGGTTCGAAGGTATTAACCTGTTACATTTACGACTTGGGAATGCAATACGCGTATTGTTACTTTATACGTTAGATGAATCTAAAAGATATTATGTGCACGTATACATCGCGTAGTTCGTTTTCTTCGAAACCTTCACTTTCTACATTTTTTATACTTTCTTGCACATTTGAATACAAACAATCGATAATTCGAAGTCTAATTATCACGCTATGTTTTCTTACAGATATGTTATGCTATTCAGAAACGGTACGGGGAGCACGACGTCAACTTCTGCAAGTTTACGACGCGGACCAAGAGGAAGACTACGGATTACGCGAAAATAGATTAGCGAACAAGAAATTCAGAGGCGCTCGCCGATATCAACATGTTCAGAAAAATCGACTGAACAATGAAGCCAATGTTGGTCAAGATGAAGACGAAGACGAAGACGATGACGAGGACGAGGGCAACGACGAAGACGAGAGCAGTGTAAGTGACGACAGGCCCGATGAAGACGAGGATGATGAGGACGAGGAAGAAAAAGACGAGATGGTGAACGAACCGGAGGCAGCGCGCTATTACGAATACGGTTAGTACTTAGGCGTAAATCTTTTCCTCACTTTTCTAGATCAGACTCAGAGGCTCCGCGATGGGTCGTCAGAGCCCCAGAAATCATATTCGAGAAGCGAGACTCGATCACTCGACGATTGCGATCGAGGGTACGCCAGAGGTCGACGAACCTGAAAGGAAAGGGTCTATGAAGATCAGAGCCGTTACGGAGGAGTGTGAGGATGATTCCACGGAACGACTGCAATATTACGATTATTACGGTGAGGATAACGTCGTCAGGAGAAGAATAATATTCGAAAGATCTTTCGCTCGTTGTTAAAGCGAATTTTACGTAGCTTCTGATTCAAGAAGAGACTTCAGAAGTATTTCAGCATAGAATATGACAGCAATGTTTTGAAGATTTTTCTCCGACTGTTTCTCTTCCGCTTTTTTACTAACCGTTAAGAGTTGAATTCAACTACCTATCCAATTTCTATTATTTTTTACTATTTGGTATTAATTAATTTTTTGTAGAGTCTGGTAGAAGTACATCGTTCGACTTACGGATTGGCCTTGTACTGAATCTCACAGCGATGAGCATTTTATTCTGGATCATCGAATACTAGTAAACGAGCTAAGCGAAGATAACGATGTCTCTACTTTTAAACGAAGTATTTACACATTACACAATTGATACTAGCTTCCTGTTGTGATGAAAATTATACGAATAAAAAAATGTCCATTTAAATTAAAAGTATAAGATTCTGAGGCAAATATGTACCTAAATAAATGTATTGAACTGCTATGGCTTGCGAGATAAATAGTTGTCAAACAAGATAGAATTAGCTGATTAAGCGATTCCGTAATTATTTTCGATAACATACACAGAGTTGCGTTATGACTTTCTTGTAATGCACCTTTTTAAATGAGACAATGAACCAGCTAATTACAACATTTATTCGTTGTGAAGTTCCTACGTGCATTCACTTCTGATGGCCACTTTCACTGGTGATTTAAACCATCCGAGAAAGTGAATCTTCAAGCGTTTCACAATGAGTTTTGTTTCAATTTTTTACGTTCCTTGTAAATTTTCGCACGTGTGCGTTTTTTAATTCTAAGTGCATGACCGTCTAAATTCCCAAGTAAGTATATCTGCATATCTCGAACTAATTTGCAGTGAGAAATTTACCACGGGCGCGTTTGCGGAAATGAAATCCAGAACAAGGAGTAATTTCAGAAAATGATAAAAAAGATGCGCTTGTTCCTGGTCGAGACGCATGTGAGAAGCCGTAATGGTGTAACACATTAAACGAATGGGGTTTAAATGTTATTGTTTTACAGCGAATTTTTACATAACATTACCTTTGTTTATCATCATTTACGTTTGTTAATTCAGGGAAAGATTTTCTGATAAGGAGCTGCGATAACGCGAGGAAATAATCAAGAATATGCACGTGTATGTACTTCCTGATTCCGAAAATTCATTCATAAAAAACACTTGTCTCATTTTATCGGTATTCAAATAGAGATATTCTTTGATTTTATATTTAGTGCGATAGGGCATTTATTGGATCATGGAAGAGAAGAATCAGTGAAGGAGTATAAAGATTTTCTAATTGGGTCTGATCCACTTGATCTAGACAACTCATGCGGTCGTCAACCGTTTGCTGAGAAAGACATCCTATTACACGCGATGAGAATATAATATTACTGATTATATAAATATCTATCTTACAGTTGAACTGATTGCATTATGGGTTGTGTTTAGATTTATATATGTAACGATCGTAATCGACCGTCATTCATAATGAAATTGTTACGTAAACGAAATGTGTATTACACGATAATAAAAAAGGAGTAATAGCAATGTGAAAAACAAACTATTATTGTCTTACTTTCAAGCATACAAACGTTGCGGTGAATAATTATATTAGGTGTGACTCGTTCGGTTGCGTGAAAGATTTGCTTAAAATCGAATTAGGCACAATGTATAAGTATCGTGAAACGTGTTTACGATTTTGATGGAACAGATAGAAATTCTTTGATGTTGATATATTTAATTTCCAGAAAAAAGATTACTAAAAATATATTGTGTAATATTGAGAACAGGGAAAATAGATTAAGTAGGCGTTCTCCAAGGTGTTTCGATAATTATCAACCTTCATCTTGACGATGAATACCGTTACTTGCGTTCTTATATTACGAATTCATTTATACATTTTCCGTTCTGGTTTGAGAAAACTACACGGGAATAGTTACTTTTGAGGTAATCAATTTACGATTATTAAAGTCTCTGAAACTCTAGATGATGCTTAACAATTGAAAATACATTTTTGGAGATTTCGTCACATATTTAAGTAAACGCAAGACTATTTAAGTATTCAAATATTTCGTAGAGTATCCAAATATAAACATGAGATAATGGAGTAGCCAAGTACATTTTTCGGTTGTATTAATCGAAGTATCTATCGATATTAAAGCATCCAGCTAAATCCTGTTTACTCGAATATCTCGTAGTATTAAAGGTAAATTGCTCACCGCGAATTACACTGTTCCCAACGATTCACAGCTCGCATCCCCGGTTACATAGTCAAAGACTGGCTGAGCACGGGACGATTGATCAGCGGTGCCGTAAGTAACGCGATATCCCGCAAGGAATGTCTGTGGATATCTAGTAGGTAGGTATTACCTACCTTTAAACGCGAAAGAGCACTGTGCGCGTAGAACTTGACCTCGCCGCGTCAATCCATCGCCGTTTGGTGTCAGTGACCTGCCTCAAAAAAAGAAACTAATTCCTCCAACCAGTGGTCCGTTACACACTGCTGTTGATCACATACAGATACACGCAACCTTCGAAGATGGATTCCGTGTGACTTTTTTTCGTGTCGAATTCAGAGCCGCCTGCCGTTTGTTTCAGCGAGTGAGATCGAGGTATCGATCGATCTATTTATTCGTATTGATTATCTGTTAACAGTCGAATTTAAATGTTGCGACACGAGACGTTCTTTTGTTAAGTACGTCTTGCATAAAACAATGGATCGTTATGTATCGTACAGTCGTATTTGGTCACAATGTTTATCTCGGAAATTGAATTGCGCAAGCGTTGCACCATTATACCTTTTGCATTTTAATCTAGTAGGACAGTACAACAGTGTACAACGCTATTTCTTAGCAGCGTATAATTGGAATTAAGAAGGTAATTGGTTTGTACAAAGATAGTGACGTTTGAAACATAATAAATTGTTGATTTGGGATTTGTGTTTAATATTGATTAGTCTGCTGACAGGAAGTTTACACAATATAAACACTTTATTAAATCATTTTGAAATGTCTGTAAGTTCTGCACAATTACGTAATTATGCAACAAACACGAGTACTTTCAAGTTTCTAGGTGCAAATCATGAAATGTCTCGGTTAAATCGATTTTATTGATCAGGATTCAAGGTAATACTCATAAATGTAGTTATCTACGTAGTCGCTTGTTCATTGAGTTGCGAATGCAAATTATATGTAACTAAAGTCAGTTGCGCGTATTCGTAAAGTACAAATGCAACTAGGTAACTACAAAGGGTGATAACAACGGAATGTTCTGACAAGTGGGCAGTATTTCTTCAAAGCGAAAAGAGGGTATGCTAGCGGATGTGTAATGCTTTTACGCGTCCCTTTGTATTAATTTAAAATAAATGAACGGGCATAGGAGGGGAGAAAGAAAGGGAATGAGAGAAGGAAAGGGGAACTCGCACGTTCGGAACTTATCACAAAATTTTTCGTATATATGAAATCTAGATATTAATTTATTTGACAAACCTAATATAATGTATTTATAATGTAAATAGATTCTTAAATTGTTTGCAACGTTGCAAGCGAAAGGTACGTGTACATAGTTGCTGATGTACTCCTTCAGCGCGTTTACCCCTTGGCGCAAAGATATTTTAGTCGATCTTCTATTTAATCTTACTGCAATCTATTCTTCCGAATCACACGTACCCACTTTCTTGCTGATGAATAGAGAACTGTTGCGCATAGGAAATAGAGTTAATACCCGTATGTTGACATAAACGTTTTTTGTCGTTCGTGTTCTTTCGTCACATTTGAATGTTAGAAAATTGAGCATTCTTATAACCATTAAAAAATTGTATGTTTCATCATAATCTCTGTGTCACCCACTTTCGCACAATTGACTCGGAAATAAATTTGAACAGATTTCAGTTATAACGTAAGTATACAAATAAGGTCACGTATGTATACATTCGCAAACTATTTGTAAGTAATTAAACGCACGACAAGAATCTTCTATGTTTCATCGTAATTTTTAAACAAATTATTATTTTCGATATTTATCAATATTCTTTTGGTTTTCACTGCATGCATATACGTCTCGTAAACGATCCGCAATGTGTTAAATCGGTACAAGAGAAGAAGAGAAGAAACTGATCGGTAGCGAGCCGGCTTTACGAACACGTCCGGGGGCCGGGGGGCCCCTCGTAACCAGAACGCGATTGGCCAAACCGTGTACCACGTGGCGGTGTTACGCGGGTGGGGATTGGCCAGCACTGCCGCGCACCGCGGGCGAAAGCGGTGAGTTTTGTTCTAGTATTTACCCCGCGGTGTAAAGTTGGCTCTGGCGCTCTGTGGTGTCCTTAAGTCACGTTCCATTGTTCGCCTCGCTCCTTCGAGTTCCTTTCGTGTCGTACCACGGCCTACCGTTATTCCCCTGATCGTACGTTTCTCTTAGTAGTGACCGCGTCGTGCGGAATGTGTGCACTATGTTCGCGCCGCGAGCAACGAACGATCCACCGGCGACTACCGTGGCGAAGTGATACGTTCTTTTTTTCGTGAACAAGTTGAATAGTGTGTGCGTTTAAATACTATCTCGGAGTATACTTCGCCGGTGTAACTGTGTGCATGTGACTACGCCGTTCTTGCCGTTAGGAAGGCAAAAGTCGTAGTGGTAGTAAACGATCAAGCAAGAGAGCACGCTGTGGGATCGTGGAATGCGCGCTGACAGGTATCTACCGCTGAGCTCAGAATTCATTGTGCTGTTCTAGTCTTTCTTCTCTCTTTCTTCATCCTTAATACGTTACTTCCTTTTCGTTCTCTTGTAAGGCTTGTGTGTTCACGCGATCGTCCACCTCTGTCTGCTCTTTCCCTTTCTCTCACCTTTTGCCTTCGCTATCTTTCTCCTTTCAATGATAGCTCGCGCGCATGCGTTCTCGTACTGGACGCTTCGCGACTTTTGACAGCTGTCACCATTGTAGCGTGTACTGTACGGACAAGAGTCGTTTTATTTTGTCGATTGTCACACAGAGGGGAGAAAGCGACATATTGCTGATCGCTGTGTGTTATGATTATTTCTTCTCTCATGATATCTCGGTGCCTTGATAACGACAATGTGATAACTCGAACGTTATGCTCCATGAAACGCTTCATATCTATACATAGGTAGAACTTCGCTGAAGAGTTACAGAGTGGTATTTTACATACTTTGTATCGTAATAAATTCATACTTTGTAATATCGTTAAATTGAAAATGCTAAACTGAATAAGTATGTCATATGTAGTGCATGAAACTGAGATCTGACTGCTCTTCGTATAAGAACCGCTTCAATTTAGTATGTGACGTAAATTGGATATTTCTGTTACCGCGATGGTTGAAAAGATTAATCTTCTCTTAATAAACGTCAATAATGCGAACCCTGTCAGAGCACTAAACGCATCTGTGGCACAAAATGCGTTATGTAAAGTGAAAGTGTCTACAGAAACATGTTAAAGGTACCTGATGCAAAATTGCATACTGAAAATTCTGGCGTCATTGAATGGACAGTTTCCCATCTGCAATTTGTCAAAGAGCGATCAACCCTAATGTGTTTCACAAACAAAAAATTATAACGGCCAGGCTCATACAATTTAATAGATGTAACAGCATGCATAACTCTTGTAATTGGTTTCTTCGTCGTTAAGATCTGACTTATTACGTATTTCTGACACTTTCGCTTCTGTACATACATTGTGATAAATCGAGAGTTGACTGTTGGGAACTGCTAAAAAAGAAGCGTATGCAACGTGGTAAGAATGAAATAGTTGATATCCTTTTTCTTTGATGTCGTCCGCCAAGGACATCTGACAAATGATGTGAGAATGCCGCGTAACAAAAGGCAGTGAAATTGAAACATTTGTTAACGAGTTCGTTCAAGAAGATTCTATACAATAACGATACGAGATCGGCTATCTGATATCTGAAACATTTATATCTTTATTGCGCTTCACATTTAATTGTGTATCGTGTCATAATTGATCAAAGGCTGACGTTATATGAAGTTTATCTAATTATATCGTCAACGGACAACATTTTTAAGAGATCGAACATGATCATTACGAACAGTGCTATTAAGAGAGATTCGATTCAAGAATTACTCAGTCGCGCCTATTTAATCAAAACGTCTACGCGTTACAAACATCATCATTATTGGATCGGAACAAATTTAATCAGGAAGTGCATCAAGAGCACACTTGTTTGCATATAACCATGATCCGCGGTAAATTAGAGCAAACCGATCACATGCACATGACCGGGAGCACGCGTGCATTATATAAGTCGGATGACGCAGAAGGAGCGCCAATTTAGAGAATGCTCTACCATCCCGTGATCGGACGAGTATCATCCCGTCGATATCACGGATCGAGTCCCGTTCGATCGTACGTGGCCGTTTCAGTAGCCTTGATAGTGGCGCGTATCGAACGCTCGAAAGATCTTTTTCCGCTCTGAGTCGTGAGAGGCGCCGAATGACGACCGTTCGCACGGTGACTGTTGTGCGGAATCTGCGGTATTAAATTCAGTATTATTCGGTCATTAACCGGACGAAGTCAGTCTTTTTCGTTCGTTGCGCGTTTCTTAGGAAAATTATGATAGGATTTAGAGGTAATTTCTAAATTACGCGATGATTATAGACGAGTTTTGTCACTAACTCGGTTTTTGATTTTATAAAAAAGTCGACGTATAACTGGACCCATGTTGTTCGTGGGTCAACTGCATAATCGGGAGACACGGTTGATTATTCAGACCAGGTATCGGGATAATAAAATGCAGCGGTAAACACACGCATGCACACGACGTGCAGCGGTGAGATATTCCGATTTCTTCGCGCGCGCACTCTCTCTCTTTCTCTCTCTTTCTCTTTCTCCCGGGTTCGACTCCGCGAAATTACGAATATGCGTACCGTTTTTCAGCTGAGTCCGCGATGAGGAGATACGACCGCAATAAAATTTCCTGCCGCTTTCAACCAGCGTTTACAGGAAGAGAGAGGATCGCCGTGAGGGGCGACAACCTTTCTCGATTCTTATCCAATTACGTATGCGTAACTTGCGATGCGCGCCAAGATGCCTGACGCGTCGTTTTAAATCCGCGGCCCGCGGCGATATTTAACGTTACACCGCACCGAATCGACGCAACAAGGTAGATCTTTCGTCGTTTCTCTCACGAATGGAATATTCGTACGCGGATACAGCCGTGAACATCGGATCTGTACGCGAAGCTGTGCGTTACACCTACGCGTTTCCTTCGAGCGAGCAACCTTCTTCTTCTTTTAATTAAAACACCTGCAATTCAGATTCAGTGGACGGCAAGGAATTATTTCTCGTCGAAATAGGTCGAGTCGTTGCTGAAAGAGTTTGTCACGGATTATTTCGATTTGCAATAATGCATTCCTTCATAAATTGATTATATATCGGTTTGTTGTGGATATGCATATAAATTATTTGAATCAAATTTCTGCAATAAAAACCACCATTTTATGTAGAATGTATAGCTGTTTAATACACGAGGCAATCAACCGTGAGTGTATAAACCGCAGGAATGAAATTTGAAAATGAATTCGTGAGATATACCACTACGACCACAGAAAATATGCACTGTTTCGTTTACTAAACTTCTTTTTCAACTAACGGTCGCATCTCGCGTTTCTCTAGAACCGTTGGTCTATTAACCACGATAATGAGGATAAACAATCCCGGACCGTTTTGTCGTTTACTGCAAAGCAGAAAATTGCGTCACTGAAATTGTATACGTCGCGTAGCTTCTATACATACAGTTAACGACTCTCCCTTGACGGGCATTAAATTTCACCTGAAAACGCGCTGTTCATTTTCCATGATATTACGAAGCTATCCAATCGCACGTAGAATTCGAGGGAGACCATCGACGGTTCTGCGAACCGTTACGGTTCATAAACTCCTAACAAAGTCTTTGCGATCATTACGACTCTCTGCACGTAATGTAGTTTCGCGGGTTTAACAAATCACGCATCTTCTCTGTTACGTAATTCACCGCCAACTTCCTCTCTCAGCATGCCACTACGTTTTTGCTTTTGCTTTTCAACAAACTATTTTTAGTTAGTTCCAATCATCAATTATATTTGATTTATAGAAGTAAAATCCAGATCCGTGTTAGGAATAATTTTTTTCTATCTTACATATCGATTTTATTTACGACTCTAATTAAAGAAAAGTGGAGTTTATAATTGGAGTTCATGATCACTGTGGCAGAAAACGAAGACTTTGTGACCGGAAGGGTTCAAGGGCAGAGCATGAGGGCCGACGAGGAAACATGGAAAGAACGTTCACAGTTCGGCGAAGCGGTTAATGACTGGCAGTCATCGAACATAGCTGACCACGTCTTCGCCTCTTCGCGTTGGAGATGAGCACGAAGGAGCTGAACGCGACCACGATGACGACCACGATGACAACAGCTACGACGTTAATGTCGTCGCCAAATCTTAATGTCAAGCCCGAGGACGACGAGGAGGAGTCGTCGACCACGATCGAGCGCGTGGATATGGATCTGGTGAACGGACCGAATCCGTGGCTTCCGGCCTACGGCTTCCAGCTTCAGCATCGTTCCCATTTTCAACCGACGCACGAGGATCTACGGGCTAATGGTTCGTATATACTGTTAGACTATTTCACTTTCTATCGCTGCTTGAACAATGTATGAAGGTTTTACACCGTTCACTTTGAATGAAGGATATGAATGATAAATTAAAAATGGAAAAACTTAAAGCAAAAAGAACAGCAGTCTATTAAAGATGCGAAAATACATATTATATTGCCTAATAGTTTAATTATTAAATACATCGATTAGTGAATAATGTTATTAATGTATTAAAATCACGGTGTTGAACATACGTTGCTTTTAATTATTAGTTTAATACGTAATATAGAAGTGAGCAAATGTTAAGGCTAAGGATGTGAGAGATTTATAATCTTCCTGGAGATACCAATCAAATTATAAACTAGAGATCATGTTGCAGTGAACATCACGCTTTCCTTCTTTCGGGTTTCTTAGCTTCTTTAACTATTATGATCTGAGAAAAAAATAATTAGTTCTTTCGTCACACTACATACAAGTTTCTTAGTTTCTGCTTTACATTAGCACTACTGATCTGTTCCGATGAATCGTGAGTCATGAACGGAGGATATTTATCTTCCATTCCATCAGGAAATAAAAATGATAATGACGTACAATAATTCACGGTCACTGCAGTACTTTTTAATAACGTATGTTTCGAACATTCGAACTGCGACTATCAGCAAACTTAAAAAATACATTCAGATATTTCACATATTCTTTTAAGGATTTAACATATTCTTTTTTAAATATTTATTTATTGAAGGAAAATTTTATTCATTACAAACTCTGTGAAACGAAACATGCAAACCTTCCTATTTTTTGGGAGATTAATTAGATCGTTCTGGTTGATACTGACCTTTCAAGCCGATCCGGTTTTATCGAGAACGTTACGTCGAACAGGAAATAAGTATTTTTATTTACAATAAATTCTAGACGATCTTCTATGCTCTACATTTCGACGGCTACTTGTATCATTACTGTAATTTTCATTGGGTAGAAAATAACGCGGGATTGCACACAAATCGTCTGATTACGGTTAGACTTAATGTGGGCTACTTTCTACAATCGTAAATGCCAGCGTATAAGAGTTAATGAAAAATTATGAGTGCAATCGGGGTGCCGAACCCGCGTGATTTGAAAAATACGCCAGATTCTTTTAGATTTTTTTAGATTCTTGTAGATCGTAGAAAAGCGATACAAATCAAATTCGTATACACCTTATGTTCGCAATTATTTGGTGTTACGCTAAACACGCGAAGTGTAAAACGCCGCTACGCAAGATGCAAGTTTCGTTCATTCTTACTCGTGGCTTACGTAAAGGTGTAACACTCACCTGCACTCATTCATTTGTGTCCTCGTGGCTAGAATACATACAAGTACGTATATACATGCGAAACATAAGTTGCACGCGAAGGAAGGTAGATCACCGATTATTTTTGTGCAAGGCGACGGGATTATTCACGTCCTGTGGCTGGTTACGGAACGAAGTGGCAACAGGTGGTTCTGTCTTTCACGGTAATCACACACACAGATACACAGCTCTGCGTACCTCTTCACTTGTGCAAAACGCATTGCGTTAAATGCTCAATTGTTTAGCATCAAAGAATGTAGACTAATTCTACATAACAATTTTAAAGTTTGGAGCATTTTTTTCATCTATATTTACAATTACTATATTTACAACTGTATCTCACAAATATATACAGGGTGTCCCAGAAAAAGTCTTAGAGTCTAAAAGGGGTGATTTCTGAAGAACAATTTCCTTTGGTAAAAAGCAAAATGAAGCATGGTTTTTGAATTATTAACGAAAAACACTGACCAATCAGAGCACGCGTAAAGCTCGCGCCCAGCCGCGGGTAGGTTGGCTCGGACCTTGACGTTCGGTCGTGGCTTAGCGCGGGCCCTACACGCTCTTGTATTGGTCAGTGTTTTTCGTTAATAATTCAAAAACCGTGCTTCATTTTGCATTTTGGCAAAGGAAATTGTTGTTCAGAAACACCTATAGAATCACTCCTTTTCGGCTCTAACACTTTTTCTGGGACATCCTGTATAATTATTATTCTCATTTAAATTATTTTTTTAAGATGTTTTTGCAATTATTTTATGTGATCTTTTAATCTATGCAAAACATGGATTGTGCGAGGCGTACGTATCCACACACGTGTTTATCTTTCGTTGATAATATAAGAAGGAAATGATGTAGCATTGATAATGCACAGATAGAAAACTAGATATTCTGTCTTACATTGTCCTATGAATGGATTACATTCATTTCGTACTTGTGAAAGATACGAAACGTTTAATTCGATAGCCTTATCGTTTCCTACTTGTGGAAAGTTACCGAACATTTACGCGTTTAATGCAGTTTGCAGAACATAGGAAAGAGCTGCGCTCTCTCGGCGCATGGTTATACTCTAGTCTACTTGTCGAGAATTCGAGTTCAAATTATGCGCATATATTAGCTTTTTTACCTTATTTCTAATTAAAATTACTCGAAAATAATGTTCTCAGGATTAATAAATATAACATTCTTTTGTTTATCTTTTATTGTTGCACTTGTTTGTTTAAAACGTATAATTAATTTACGAACGTGCTGTTTTTGAAAACGCTACTTGTGTCATTTAAAAGAAAATCATGTAATTGTTCTATAAAGATTGATTGTATTAAAACAATATTAATTAGGAGCTTCAATAAACATTTATTGAAATGATTTCATTTTAATGTTACATACATTGCACAAAATAATATGATTTGTATTGTTCATCATTGATTTTAATACAGAATTAAAATATTATTAAGTTCAGTACCCTTAATAATTTTCGTTTACGTCAATAATAATAATAATAATAATGACAATAATAAATTAATTAAAAAATAATGTATACATATAGAGAGTATAAATTCTCGTATACATAATATCGTATACATAAAATATTAATGTAGACGGATGATATCGTATTTCAATATGTACAAAGCCAAAAGGGCAGTATCAATCAAGAAAATAATTTTTAATATGTATTCATATGAACATTATAAATAGAATTATGAGATAGAGGTCTAAGTTATTATTTTTGTTTTTGTTCCTTTAAATAATTTTGCTTGTAAAAGTTATAAAACAAAATGAAATTTATCATTAAATCAGTCAAAATTATAAAGCCTCCGAGCTTAACATCAGGACAGCCGGGAACGAAAGCTCGAATGGCATGAGCTCCCAAAAGCACAAATTGTACCTGTTTATAGAAAATATAACGTAGTTAGTTTATTGCGCCAGTTCAAACAAATATGAATATTTTATTATTAATGAGAAGCTCTCTTATATCTTAATACTAGGAATACCAAACTGATCAAAGTGCTTGGTTTTTTATGGAGAAATGCATACGCAGGCTGTTTCCTAAGGAGACCTACTTCAGGACGAGTGCCCCCCATGCACTCTCGAAGTGGGTCTCACGTATTAGGAAACACCCTGTATAAAAGGAAATCTTATTTGCAGTGTTGATATACAATTTTCTCGTTGCATTTTCTATATTTTCTTACATGCTTCTATCATGTAGCTTAAACTGAGCTTATAAAGCGTGCGATTTATTATACTCCTTCATATTCTGTTTCTATACTTACCATTTGCGTGATGGTGATGAAGTGCTTTACTGAGTACATCGTTTTTTCGAGCGATTTAATGGACGAAAGTAGGTAATATGTGTACATCAGTACATGTACTGCACAATTGACTATGGGCAATATCAGAGATATCCCACTAGTGAAATATTTGATGTGCGCCCAGGCAAGCCATGCTGTTGAAACGTGATGATACAAGTGCAGGAATGAAACTTGTCGTTGTTTCTTTCTAAGCACAAACATGCCGGTCTCAATGTAATCGATGATTTTCAATAGAAGTAAATACCACGATATACTGGCGAACTGCAATAAAATTTTCAGTGCTGTTTCTAGCTGTTCGAAGAAATTGTATAATTTTCTTATTTACTATTTTTATTAACATTCATTTATGGCTGGTACTATTGTCCTAGCATAATTCTCCTAATATTTTAGCATACTATTATAGAAGCAAAAGTCCCTTGTTCTTTATTAAACATAGAGCGGGGTAGCATTACTATCGCATAATGCTGACTTGTCTGTTCTCGTTGATTTTGATTACACATTGAAATATAAACACTGTAAAATTCACTATACGTACCTTCATAGCTTGAGGGCTGTCGGTGAAATCTACTTTAACGCAGTAAATAAAGTAATCTTTGTACCATCCAGCTTCGATCGTAGCATATATTATCATCGCGTTAGATACAATTTGAAAGATATTGTACAATCTGATGAATCTGTACAGTTTGTACGCAGGCCTGCCTTCCATGTATCTGGGTCCACATTTTAAAACGAAGTACAAATATGCAAATGTGAGGAATGTGATCGGTAGAGGAGAACTTACTAAGAACCAGTTATTCGTTCTCCAATCTGAAATTATAATAGAACTTCCTGTATAATAGTCGGGCATATCTCAAAGTAGAATAAAAAATAAACTTTTCTAATAGTCCACCAGACATAATTTTTTTTTAAATGCCAGAAGCTTTAGTTTACTGGATAATGTATAAGAAAAAATTAAAAAATCTTAGTGACATGATTTCTAACTTTTTTATTCTAATCACTAATGAAAATATAAATCTAAATGTGTTTCATCTTAGTAGGAGATACGCGTCCTCCTTCTTGATGTTAGCAGCATGCGACGAATAAAGGTTGAAAGGTGGGAAAATATTGTAAACAAAACGTATTAATTTGACTCACCAGCTATTTCATCATTCACGTAGTAATACACGTCTAGTAATCCCATGATTTTCGTTCACAATTACAGTGTCTGTTCGGGTCTTCTACCTTAAATAGAACTGTGGCCAGCGCTTCGTCTGTCATATATATTTGCCGAAAGGGGTTCACCCTGATAAATTATTCCACACATTATGTGATATAATTGACCGAAGATCGTGGGAATTTACATGTTATCTATATTGTACATATATGTACATGTTTCACGTTGTATGTGTGTCTGTCGTATGACATTCAATTTTGCAACTTGTGGAAAACAATGATATGGAAGTCAATGAAGTCTATCAAAGGAATTCAATTTATTGTAAATGCACATAATTATGTATATTCAATCATTTCATCGGTTAAATTCACAAATCTTTCTTTAAAGTAGCTTGATCGTCATGTGCTATGTCACGCTGAGGGTACTCAAAGAGGCTTATAATTTCGCTGTATTTTATAATAAAAATTTAATAACAAAAATTTATTGTTTTTTCTAAAGATGTTAATGTAAAAACTGATCACGTTAAACAAAAATTACACATTTTCTCGTGCATTTGTGACCGGGACACTTTTGCCAATTCTAACACGCGTATGCAGAATGCAATAAAAGGTAATTTTATATCAGGTGAGTTACTCTCGCGGACAGGATTTGTGACGGGGGTGGACAGTTTGCGTGATGGGCATTTATGTCTACAGAGTGTTGCAGAAAAAGTGTTAGAGCCGAAGAGAGGTGATTGTGTAGATGTTTCTGAACAACAATTTCCTTTGCCAAAATGCAAAGTGAGACATGGTTCTTAAATTATTAACGAAAAGCACTTACCAATGAGAGCACGTGTTGGGCCCGCGCCAAGCCACGACTGAGCTTATAGATAAAATTTAACCCTTTAAGCGCTAGAAACCCATATATGGGTTCTCGCATAACCATTCGATTTTGACTATGAACTCATATGTGGGCAGGGATGCCAGAATGTAGGATTTCTCCTCTCCCCGAGCTCTCCCCAGCAGGGGTCTCGTAATTTATCCCACGGCCGGAAAGTGGGGACGACGCGACCATGGTGGGGACCAATAGTCGGTGGGGGTATGCAGTGATTTTCACAGTAACGCTGCGGAGAGCTTCGCGAACGCGCATGAGCACGCATGAGGGGAATAGTAGTGGGGATCGAAATACGGGTGAAAAACAGGGGAAGCGAGCCTCGTGGGATAAATTACGAGACCCTTGCTCCCCAGTACTGCATGCTGCTGTATGCTCAATGTGCTCTCCCCACTTACATATGGCATTAGTAGACATGTCTCCAATGATCATGGGTAACGTAAGTGGGGGCAAAAAACAGTAGTGGGGGACAGCTCGGGAATAGGAGAAATCCTACAATCTAGCATCCCTCTATGTAAGCTCTCTCAAAACCATTCAATTTGGGAAAAAGATATCCATGAACAGATATATGTGACTGGTGCTTGTAAGCCTATAGTATAGATATAAAAAGACAATAAGCGTTTAAATGTGCTTTTATACAATCGTTTATCAGTATTGTTGATTAAATTTGTGTGTGCATTCATTGTGCAACATATCGCTACCAAAGACTTTTGAGCTTAAGTGCTGCTACTTTGTGGAACTTTATTCTTTGCTTATGTATTGAACCTTGCTTTGAGAGTTACCACACAATAGAAAATTATTAAATTTTCAATTTAAAAGATATCATTTATTATTTATAATTTATTTATTATAATTTGTATCATATTGTTCATGTTATTGTTGCTTAATGAAATAAATGGTTAAGACTTTTGAGATCACCACATAATTTATTTCAATTACAATCAATATACCTTGCAATGAAAATTTAGTCTGCTTAACTTGCGCTCTTTTGTAAAAAGCACGCAGTCCACGGTAGGTTTTTTTGTACGGAGTGGGCAGTCCATGGCG